CCATCCATCCATCCATCCATCCATCCATCCATCCATCCATCCATCCATCCATCCATCCATCCATCCATCCATCCATCCATCCATCCATCCATCCATCCGTCCGTCCGTCCATCCATCCATCCATCCATCCATCCATCCATCCATCCGTCCGTCCGTCCGTCCATCCGTCCATCCATCTATTCATCCATCCATCTATCCATCCTTCCATCCATCCATTCGTCCATCTATCCATCCGTCCATCTATCCATCCATCCATCCATATATATCCATCCACCCGTCCCGTCTGTCCGTCTGTCCGCCCGTCCGTCTGTTCGTCCGTCCGTCTGTTTGTCTGTCTGTTAGACAACCCATCGGTCTCTGTCAATGTGTATGCGTGCATGTGTGTGTGAGTGTGTGTACGTGCGTGTGTGTGTGTACATGTGTGTATACGTGCGTGTGTGCGTGCCTGTGTGTGTGAGTGGGTGGGCGTGCCTGCGTGTGTGTGTACATGTGTGTATACGTGTGTGTGCGCGCGTGTGTGCGTGCATGTGGGTATACGTGTGTGTGCGCGTAAATACACGTGTGTGTGTGCGCCTGTGTGTAAGTGGGTGTGCATGCTGTACAATACTTATTCTTTAAAATATTTCTTCATGTTACGATCCTTCCTCATCGCAGGCACTCATCGATATGCAAATGAGATTGCCGTCGATCAGTTACGAATCTGAACTCGATCCGAACCGAGCCGCGTCGAACACAGCATGATACGTGACGTGGTCGATATAACGCAGTTTGCTGAATCTTCAAGATGATATAAGTTACACCGCAAGTAACCACAAGAGTACCGTCTGTCAGGCAACAACATTTATACTGTTGCAACCGGGGTTCTAAAGCTGCGTTTTTAGACGTTCAGAGTTTGTAAGCACACTGCGATATTTCGGCAGGTTAAAATGATGTAAAATCGTAAAACGTTGTAATTGAGATATAAAGTGTCGAAAATACGATGCCAAAATGTCACCATGTGTGAGAGATGTATTTATCTACACGTGATTTTTTTCTCGTATTGTAAACTTGAGCGGGGACTTCGTGCCTTCATGTGTCGGAGAGACGTGACTGTTTACTCATCGCTGTTTTATCATTGATATGTTTGATGTTAAACGCAGCACTGATCCTGACAGGTAATAAAAATAGGCGCGCACTACAATCATAATCGTGCAGCATGTAGAATGTTCACATAGCTTGGCGAGCGCAATGTAGAATACTGACATCCCGCTGGACCCGAAACGTAATAGTTCTACATGGTTCTACGCTGCGTATGTGAAATAGTGACGTTGTTACGCAAGGGCGCGATGTCAGTATTTCCCATCTTGGCGGACGGATTAACTACGGAGAGATTGTTAAAGCGTCATTTATCGTTCTGTAATGATTATAGCAGAAAGCTCCGCAGCGTAGTCAACAGCAGCGTAGGTGACTGCAACTATTACAGTTACGATTAAGCTGGTATTGCAAGAATCAGATCGTATTCCTTCATTCATAAAGAGAAACCATGAAGCTGAGCACAGAATGCTAGGTCTTAGATGTTGCCATTTGATACGCATGCGCACATTGTATGCAATACTACGGGATATTTCAAAATACAAGCCAATCTCAGACACTCATGTTGTACTCATGTATTTAGATCATGACTAAATCCCTGATATTATATTTCGATGAATTTTTATTAGTGTTTATTAGTTATTCTCTCTCTCTCTGCCTCGCTGTGTGCGTGTGTGTGTGTGCGCGCATGCGTGCGTGCGTGCGTGCGTGTGTGTATGTGTATGCATGTCTGTATGTGTATGCGCGCGTGCGTGCCTGCGCACGTGCGTACGTGCCTGCGTCCGTGCGTGCGTGCGTGCGTGCGTGCGTGC